AGCACTACTGTGGTAAAGATGCACACTCCTGTGACAGGCAGTTGCCTGAGCCCTGAAAATAATCAGGTATTGACCAAGAAGAAATGATAGGACTTTTAATAAGAGAAGTGGACCCTAACGAGCAGTTGGATGACAATGTGGAGGAGATGCTGCTGCAGATTGCTGATGATTTTGAGAGTGTGGGGACAGCAGCCTTCCAGCTCGCTTGGCATCGCAAGTCCAGCACCCTGGAGGTGAAAGATGTCCAGTTGCATCTACAGCACCAGTGGAATATGTGGATTCCAGGATTTGGCGCTGAAGAAATCCAACCCTACAAAAAGGTTTGTACGCAGAAGCTCATAAACAAAGAATGGCATTGATCTGGAAAACAACCAAGAAATAATGTGGAAAGTCAGGGAATGGACAACAATATATCTGGAGATTCTTGAGCTGAGACCTCAGCCATCTCATCCTTGGAATTTTTTTTTTAGATGCTTTACAGAGAAGCATATATTTTTTACTAACAGTGCAGCAATATCTATAATGACTGAGAAGATCTGCCAAAAGAATAAAGCCTCCTACCTCCCCCCAAAATTTGTTTTTCCTAGTGCTGAAGACACTACATACATAAGCTGTAGAACAAACAAGGAGAAATCATGCTGGTACTACTTCAAAGCCTCATCTCTACTGACTAGCTTTCACAGTGCTGGAAGATGCTATGCAAGCTACTAGGAAAGTCATTATCAACCTTGTCCAGCTGGGAACCCTGTGAGCTACAGTAACAATTGGCCTGGTAAGATATGCCCTCTAGTGTAATCATGGCATGAATGTTATGTGAGTAACTGACCAGTTTCTGATTGGATTTAAGGTCTGATTCACAAGATGGCACCCTGGTGCAGCTATTAGGCCTAGGAACCTGTGGCTGCACAGGCCACAGGCCATGGGGAGAGGCTACTACGATTATTCTGTTAAATGGATATATTAAATCAACTTCTAATTATTATACCCATAGATTGATGCAGCTTTCAACTCTCACCAGAGAAATTTCTTCTTGCAGCAGATGGTAATTAACAGAGACCCACGGCTGGGTGTGGTGGTGCCCGCCTTTAATTCTAGCACTCAGGTAGGTGGATCTCTGTGACATAGAGGCCAGCCTGGTCTACATAGGGACTACAGGGGCAGCTGGGGCTACAAGGAAACTCTGTCTCAAAAAACAGAAGAAACAAAACACAAAGAGATCCACAACTGGTCAACATGTAGAGTAAGAGATTGCAGAGTGCTTAGCTCTGAACGGGACACCTACATCACACTCTCTCCTACCAAGGCTCAGGGATCATTGTGGGAGAAAGGGATGGAAAGATTTTCAGAGACAGAGGTGGTGGATGACTACAAGAAAACTGTTTCCTAGCAAGTTACTCAAATGAATTCACAGCAGTTAAGACAGCATCTACAAGATCTATGCAAACTCAAGCCAGACAACTTCCCAGCATAGAGAGGTAGATAAGAAGCCCTGACCCTAGCTGAGGGACTACTGGCAACTGATAGCTGTTGGAAGGAGAGTCAAGTTTTATTTAAGGGTGTGACACTGGGTAAGTTGACCAGGCTCAAGGGGATGGACCCACACCAAAGGGTATTTGGGAGCACAAATTAGACTGAATAGGCCTTAAAAATAATAGAGGACATGAAATAGGGTGGGGAGTAATAAGGATGGGGTGAAGACAAGGAGGGGGGGGTCTGAATAAGATCAAAATACAATATATGAAATTCTCAAAAATTCAGTAAACATTTTTTAAAAATCATGTGTGTGTGTGTGCATGTGCATGCAGAAGCCAAAGGCATAAAATCTCCCAGGAGCTGGAGTTACAGGTAGTTGTGAGCTGCCTAAGGGGGTGGTGGGAACCAAACTTGTGTCCTCTGCAATAGTAGTATGTGATCTTAGCCATTGAACTATCTCTTCAGCTTTTTTTTTTTTTTTTTCCTCTTGAGATGATTTCACTATAGCCCTGGCTGGCCTTGAATTTATACAGATTCACCTGCCTCTGCTTTCGGAGTGCTGGGATTAAAGGAGCACCACCATGCCCAGCCTGTCCGCTCTCTCTCTCTGAGACAGTCTTGCTATGTACTCAGGCTGGCCTCATACTCAGAATCCTCCTGCTTCAGCCTCCCAAATGCTGGGATTACAGGCTTGCCCCACCACAGCCCACTATTAAGTATTAAGAGAATGAGAAGGCCAAATCTAGTAGTCAGGGACTGTAAAGAAGAGAGACTGGGCACTGGGCATGGTGGTGCACGCCTTTAAACCCAGCACTTGGGAGGCAGAAGCTGGGGAGCTCTGTGAGTTCAAGGCCAGCCTCGGCTACATAGTGAGTTCCAGTCCAGCTGGGGCTACGGGGAGACCCTGTCTCAAAAAGACCAAAAAAAAAAAAAAAAAAAAAAAAAAAGAGAGAGAGAGAGAGAGAGAGACTAACCAGAGGAAAGTGGGAAAGTGGCATCATTTATTATAAATGAGAAACAAAAGGTCGAGAACAAGTGTATGAAGATGAACTCAGTTTGAGACATGTTGTGTCCAAGGTGCATACAAGATCTACAAATGAATATGCCATAGAAGCTGCAAGTACGGGCCTTGCAGACCTGTGCCTGAGACAGAGCTTTGGGTTATGAAAGGTAACTGAAATCAATAGGACAGACAGGGGACTAGGTCAATGACAAAATCCAAAGGAAAACAGCATTAATAGAACTGCCATCAAAAGAGCAAGAGCCTGTGAAAGGCGGTTACAAAGAAAAGGAAATAGCTAACCAGAGCAGTAGAGAACAGCCAGAGAGGCGTGTGGGGCATCACAGCTCCATCTGGCTCAGTGGCTTATTCTTCCCCCTTTAAAAAAAAAAAAAAAAAAAAATGTATATGAGTGTATTGCCTGCATGAAGGTAAGTGCCCCCATGTCCTGCAATGCCACAGAGCTCAGAAGAGGGTTTCGGATTCCCCTGGAACTGGAGTTAGGCACGGTTCACAGCTGCCATGTGGGTGCTGGGAATCGAACCCAGGTTCTTTAAAAGAGTAGTCAGTGTGCTTAACCACTCCAGCCCCTTCTTCTTCCCCTTCTTTATCTCGCTCAAAGTGTTCATCATTCAGATTTTTTATTTTTATTTTGGTCTTTTTGAGAAAGGGTCTCCCTGCAGCCGGAGCTGGCCTGGAACTTGCTATGAAAACCAGGCAGGCCTCCATCTCACTGAGATCCACCTGCCTCTCCCTCGAGGGCTGGGATTAAAAGCGTGTACCACCACGCCCGTCCTGCAATCATTCAGCAAATTGTACTGAGCCTCTACTACACACTGTTCCACGTGGTTAGGACTCATCAGTGAACAAAAGGCCCGATTTGGCTGCAAGTGGGAGTCTTGTTACTACCCCGCCCACGACAGCACCTTGCAGTGTATTCAATAAACCTGTTTTCTAGTCGGGGGGAAAGGCAGCAGCCCTAACTTTAAGGCGCTTAGGTCTAGGAAGAGACAAATAGAGTAAGGGGCGGAGCGCCGAGTAAAATCTGAAGGTTGAAGGTTGCCAAGTTACCTGGCAGAGGAGGATCCTGGGAAGAAGTTACAACCAGATCAAGAGCAGGCTCAGGAAGGTCAAGCACTGAGCACGGTTGGGGTACAAGTGAACAAAGAAAGGGAGACTTTGGCTTTGGAGAAAGAAAATGGGGTACCAGTAGAGGCTTTTCAGGGATGCCCTGGTTTTTAACAGTGGGGAGAACCTTTTCGGGGGTGGACGAGAGGACTGCAGGCGCTTGGCTTGACCACGTTGGTAGCACGTGGGTTTCCCGATGGCTGGGAAGGGAAGCAGGATGCGAAGAGGCGTGTACCCCCACCTCCGACCCCAAACAAAAGCCGAGCTGTGCACTTAAGCGAGGACGGCTGGAAAGCAGCCTGGGGGAGCATGTCGGTGTCCACGTGGGAAGCTGAACGCTTTAAATCAGCAAGGAGACTGCAGACCTGCAGGTGACAACCTGCACCCTGACGGCATCTGAAGCTGCGGGGCAAAGACACCCATGTCCCGATGGGACAGGCGCAGAGAAGGAAAAGCAAAGGGGAGGAGGGGGGCCGCACCAGGCCAGATGGAGAAGGCGCTGCAGGCAAATCCTCCAACCCGACACCCGCCCCACACCCGGCGGCCCCGGTCTTCCTGCCCTGTGGCGCGGTTACCCAGCTGAGTCGGACGCCGCAAGCGCTACAGCTCCCGAACCTATCTAGCTGACTGGCAACTCCGTAAAACCCTCCCAAATCTCAACTTCTACAATGACAGGCGCGGCCGCCGTCTGCGCGCTGACGCACGACGCCGCCTCACCAACGTCACTCTGAGGTAAAAGCCTTTTTTTCCATCGCAAGGCTCCAAGGCTCCCTAAAGGTGCAAGGGCCTCCCGCATTACGAGTCGCAGGAAGGATCAAATCTCGTAGCGCGAACCAGGAGGGTCACGCGCTACAAAAGAACTTGTTGGGTGGGGCGACCGGAGGACTTTCCCTCCTCTTTTTATTGGTTACGGGAGCCGGGCTCGGCTCCCCCCATTGGGTATTCCTGAGGCTAAGGACCGCCTCCCCGACGCGTGTGCGCATGAGTGGCGGGGGGTCTTGTCTGACTGAGCAGGCGCAGCCTTACGCCCGCAGAGGGGGAGGAAGTGGGCAGAACGCAGAGGCGCGCACAGCGTCCCGGCGCTGGGTTCCCCTTTGCCGGTCCCGCCCTCCGTCGCGGCGGCGCGGTGCATGCTGGGATAGGGAGCGATCTCCGAGCGAGGCTGCAAGATGGACGCGGGATTCTTCCGCGTAAGTAGAAGCGCGGGGGTCTAGGGTGAGGCGAGCGGCTGGTTTTAAGAGGCCACGGGGTGGGGCCGAACTCTGGACGCGTCGGCCTGTGGAGGGAGGCCGTGGAGATCCCGAGGGGCCTGGGTGCCGGCGGACGCTTCCCCCTGCGCTGTGGCGGAGACCGGTGCGCCTCTGCGCAGTCTCCTCCTCCCGGATCGTCCCCCCGACGCGGCCGTGGCTGGAAAATGGCGGCGGGAATGGGCCGGAGTTGAACCTCGCCGGTCGCCTGGCGGAGTCTGTGGGGCGGGCGGCTGTGCCGGCCGTGAGGTCCTGAGGCCTAGTGAAGCGCCAAGGAGGAAGTCCCTAGGGAGAGGCCGGAGGGCAGCCCGAGGTGGCAGGCGGCAGCCGGGCACCGGGAGTGCGGTTTGGGGGTACGTCCCGAGAGGGCTGTTTGGGGCCGAGGGGCTTCCGAGCGGCTGCCTTGGAGAGAGCGAGTGCTCTCTCGGACACGGTCCTTCAATCCCGGTCTTACGCCTTGGTGGAGGCGCGGGGTCAGAGTTCGTGAGCGCTCCCGCCCAATTTGCTAGCTCCTCGCGTCGATCATTTGTAGTTAGAACGTTTGACTCCGAGGCTTTTGGGGTGCGACCAAGTGTGTGCGCGAGCCTGGAGGCAGGTTGCTGGGTATCCACCCCGCTTCCCGCCTTTCGCCTGACCCCCCCCCCTCCGCTTCGACTCTGTTTTGTGGGTCGGGTGGATCTAGCCCAGACCCTCCGGGGAGCGCGAGGGGGGTAAAGTTTAACTTGTAGTTTGGTCTCCGAGCCCAGGTTTTGGCATTTTATTAAGGCTCATATTGGAATCCGTATTCCACTCTTGAAGGAAAGTAGCTCCAGGTCGAGATTTAAATGGGTGGGAAAGGGACACGTACAGAATTAAAAGTTGAATAGCAATGATCCTTTCAGGGCTTGTCAGTTTTAATGCAGAAACCGAACAGTATAGAGACTGTTTGGCCGAAGCCCAAATTCCAACTAACTGTAATACAGGTTAATTTTACATTCCCTGGAGCATGTAATTGGCAGTTTGCGTGCGTTTTTAAAGGAAAAATTAGACGAGAGGAAGGCAAGGGGGTTGATGCCTCTTGTGACTGGGTATGTAGCTCAGTGGTAGAGAGCTTGCTTAATATGAGTGAGACCTTGGGTTCCATCCTCAGCATTCGCACCCTCCAAAATCTGACAGTGCACGCTAGGCATCATTCCGAGTATTTTAACCTAAATCGCTTAGTCAGGTATTTGGTCTTAGGTCATGCAAACAATAGAATTACTTATGGAATGGTAAATTTCCAATGAGCTTGTTTTTCCCCAAAGTGTTTTATAGTGAATACTTTCTTACGGCACAAAAATAACACTTTGAGCCATGCATGGTGGCTCATGCCTTTAATCCCAGCACTCGGGAGGCAGAGGCAGGCAGATTTCTGTGGGTGTACATAGTGAGTTCCAGGCCAGCTGGGGCTAAGGGAGACCCTGTCTCAAAAACAAAGGGACATTCATTTTTGTCAAGTATTTCTAATAAAGGATATCAAATAAAGAATAAAATAGGATATAATGATTTACAGACCAAGTTTGCCTTTGAAATGGGTAGAATTTAGGGGGAAAAATCTGGCTTTTTCATATACTGCCTACAATTCCTTAAGTGAAGGAGTCTGTTGTTGATGTTTGGTTTTGGCTTTTTTGAGACAGATTCTTACTCTCTAACCCAGACAGGCCTTGAACTCAGACTCTTGCCTTGACCTTGCCCCAGTTCAGGAATTAGGCATGTGCTACACACCTGGCTGAGTGGAGTTAACTAGACTTGAGCTCTGAGTTAAAAGATTTTTAGACCAATTATGTAGTACCCTTGGGCAGCCAGAATCTGAACATTCTGATTATAAGGTAGAGATGGCATCTAGCATGTATTGCCATATGCCAGGACCTGGGTGTATAAAGTTTATTTTTGTCTTTTTTAAAACAGTGTCTCCCTATAATCCCAGAAAGTGAAGCCCAAGCTGGCCTCAGTCTCATTGAGATCCCCCTGCCTCTGCCTCCCCTCCTGGATGCTGGGATTAAGGCCTGGCAGTTTAAATTTTTTCTTAGCTGACGTATAGTAATGTCTATGGAGTACATAGTAGCATTTTAGCACATCTGTATAATATGATCAAATTAGGATAATTGGCATACCTTATCACCCACAGGCATTTATCTTTTTTATATTTTTGCTTCATTGCCCCTATTTTTACACATGAGAAACATCCTCAGAGATAGGTTACTTACTCTGAGAACACATGGCTAAGTAGTGGCAAAGCTGAGACTCTTGAAAAAGGCCTTTTACTGTCCTCAATTTTATTTATTTATTTTTGGTCTTTTTGAAACAGTGTCTCCCTATAGCCCCAGCCAACCTAGAACTCACTATGTTAACCAGGCTGGCCTTGAACTTACAAAGATCTGCCTGCCTCTGCCTCCCAAGTGCTAGGATTAAAGGCCTGTGCTACCTATTACCACACCCGGCCTACCCCAGTTTTTTTTTCTGTGTCTGTTTTTGCAGTGCTGGGGATTGTACCCAGGGTCTTGTACTTGCTAGCCAAATGCTCTGCCACTGAGCTATATCAGGCCAAACAAATATTTTTTTGATCACTTTCCAGGAGACAACAGCTAGCCCGGCAAACTATCAGTAGATTTCAAATCATACAGCCGGTTAGTT